CAAAAACATGAAACAAAGAACTTTTCAGGCTTCATAAGCATTTCTCTTTATCAACTTTGCCATAATGGACCACAACAGAGAAATTTTAATACCATTACCAAGGACATTCTTTAGTTTTCATTGCACATTTCACTGTGGTATTAAAAGTTAATGTGAGTGTTTTGTGTTTCAGAGATGGCCGATGTTTTGAAGAAGTTGACTGATGGAGGTGAGAATAATAAGATAAATGGAGGAAAAATTAAGTGAAATGATTCAGCTGACCATTTTGAACATGTGTAATAACTTTGAATGTTTTAACGAATGCTTCAAATGTTTTTGCCGGGTTTATTTAAACAGCTAAAAATGGATATTAAAAGGCTTAGAACGTTGTGCATTTAAAAATAGATGGGTTGGGGTAAGGTAACAGTGACAGCTAAGTAAACATCTTGTCGCTTAGATCATTGTCATCCTACATGTACCCTTGTTCACTGTCGTCATAAGTTTGAAGCCAGCTGGCTGGTTGTAACTAATAATAGAGCACCTGAGAGGGCCGACGGTAAATTCCTGTTTAAATACTAGACCATTCAGTCAATAGGGTATGAGATTCTTATTCAACGTCTTTGGTTGTTGTAGTCCTCTAGGCTTGACGCCAGGTGAAGACAGTGAACTGGCCCTTAGTGCTCTGGTGCTGTTGTTGGTGAGTCAATAAAATAAATGTGTGGTTCCAGGAAATATCCAACGGTTTTACCTCCCCCACAGAAGGTTTTTGGTTGAAACCCCCCCCCCTGGAATTTCCAGTTAGCTTCATACTTTCCTTAAAAAAATTGGCCTTTGAGACCCCCTCCCCCCCCCCCCCCCCCCGGTTTCCAAGACCTTCCTTGGGGTGGGTATGGATATTTTCTGTAAACCGTACAATAATGAAGAACGGACTGAAAAAACACCAAAATGCATGTAATTTCACCCAAGTTTTGGACGTTTTTCAGTCCGCTCTTACCAGTCCATCTTCAAATAATGTTGTTTTATAGATAAGGGTTCACCCTGATATTAACTCTCAATTAAATTTGCTGTTGTAAACTTATAAAGGTATCTGAAGAAGTGTCTATAGATGAAGAGGTTGTCAATGGGGAATTTTGAGGTACAGGTCAAAACAGTTTACATGTACAATAATTATTATACAAGTATAATTTACCCAATAAATTGACTTAGTTTAACGAGGGTGACAATACATTGACAGTCTCACGACTGATAAACCTGTGGCCACGGATTTCCAGATCGAGATTGAAATGTGGTTTTGTTGGAGCGAGGATTACCCAGAAAAAACCCTCGGAGCAAGGATGAGAACCAACAACAAATTCAACCCTCGTGTATGACTTCCACCTGACAAATTGCTGGGGATAAACCTGAAATGAACTAGCATCCCATCAGGTAAGCACTGGGGCGCGGATCCAGGATTTTTTTAGGGGGGTCTCAGGGTTTTCCCAAAAAATGTGAAGTAGATTGAAGGAGAATTTTTGGAAGTAGATTCAGTAGTAAAGGTGTGGAGGGGGTGTTTGGAACCTCCCAGAAAAAAATTGAGATTTCAGGCTCTGAAAAGTGCATTTTGGTGGATCCTGGAGATGGTTTTGCTATGGATAATGGAGAAAGAAAAACTCCTAAGGTTGATAGGGGGCGTCCGGACCCCCCTGGATCGACACTGATGTCTAGGCATCTTGACTTGCTTCTGGACTCATGTTTATCTAGAATACCTTCCACACTGCCTTTACACTCCTGATTTTTTTAATAAACCTTTCAGGAGTACCACGCCTCTAGACAGCCTCTCCTAACAGGGACAGAGCAAAGATTTGGCAAAAGGAAGACAGCACAGGTACTGAGTTGTATTAAAGTTAGAATTCCTCTCAAAATGATTAGATGACTAAGTCTGACTTGTACTTCAAAGTTCAAAGTAAAAACTGACGACTGTCCATTTCACGATTTGACACTTGTGAACACTCCACATTAATGTAAAGTTTTGTATTCAAGTCTGGGTTTCTACACTTGGCCGGGGGTCACTGTGTTGTGTTCGGGGCAAGACTTTACTCTCATAGTTTTTCTCTCTCTCTCCACCAGGAATAATAATTGGGTACCGGCGAATTTTTTGTGTGGAAACCTGACAAAAATGCTGGGGGGTAACCTGTGATGGACTAGTATCCCATCCGGGGAGTAGCAATACTCCTAGTCATCATGCTATGGAAACCAGAGTTAAGCGCGGCCTGATAAGCCTAGGCTTGTAAACAGACTTTAACCTTAACCTTGTATCCACCAGATCCTGGATAACATCACGTTGACCAACCTTGACATTATTCCACGTGGACCTGATACAGATCAGAGGGAACTTGCTGGAAAGATTGGATCAATGCTCTACGCCATTTGGTAGGTACACTAAATTAAATATCGTAAAAGCTATTTAGCATCAAGGGAGCTAATTTTCATGACCTTTAAAAGGCTTTTGACAGGGGATGTTCCAGTAATTAGATACATGTATAATTTGGAGTATGTATCTGTTTCTCCACAGGCAAACGGTTATTCAAACAGTGGCTTGCGCACCGCTGTTAATCCACTTCAATCAACGACAGGTATGTATAAAACAGTGGAGGTACAAGTGCGGTTGGTTTATGCTAGCGACGAATCGGAAGTGGAGTCAGAATCAAAAGTATAAGGAGCGTTACGAACCAGTGAAATAAATAAAAAGCGAGCAGAATGTCGACAGAATATGAATCGGAAGGTCAGAAGAGTTTCTTTTTCTTCGATTCCACTTCTGCGCTTACAATCTAGTAACCCTTTCACTCCCAGGACAAGCTTGAGTCAATAAATGTGGTTGTACCTTGAGTGATGAAACCCTAGTGTGTGACCATTTAAATGAAAGCTATTGAGCAGCATTTTCAAGCGGTACGTTTTTTTGACAATTTTGCAAAGTGAAATTGAAGATTTTTTTCCTCAGTTTGAACATAGCATCTGGGAGTGAAAGGGTTAAAACAAGTTAAATTAATGAAATACAGTTAATTAATGTAAACTGGGCCATATCAAGACTTTTAGTTCGCCGCCAGGCTAATGACAAGCTGAAAACCATACAGAAAAAAAACAACTGAAAAAACTCTCAGCTGCTAACATTTTCTGTGTGTGTATTCTACAGGTTGAATTCTGTAGAAGATTTAATGGCTAACCCGGTTTGGTGGCAGATGTGAAAGACATTCTCAGAGTCCTTCAGATCTGAAAGGCTATTGAAAAAGTATGAAAATAATTCTTATCTAGCATGTTTAGCTTCATGTCAGATGGTGGATTAAATTTATCTAAAAAAAACAAACTTTTTGAAAATGCCGTTTCATAGATGCAGTACAGAAGTTGGATGCTTGGGTAATGGGCTCCTGGTTGTGCATGAAATATATAATTTTTTTTTTTGTGGGGGGGGGGTCACTGCCCCTAGCCCTCGTAACTAGGCATGTTCATTGGCTCTTACATGTAGAGCCAATACACAACAGGTCATAACATGCCACTACCACCAGTTCTAGTGAGGGGGTGGCTTTTTTTTTAGCAAAACATTTTGATTTGTTGATAGTGTGGGACTTTTACTACTTACAGGTATTTTAGTGATGTTGGAATATTGAAGCTCTCCTTGTAATCTTGTAAAAATTAGCAGCAAACTGCTGTTTACAAGTACTGTACGCCATTCATTCATTTTATTTTTATTTGTTAGAATCCATACCCCTGAGTTTGCCTAAAGACAAGAACCATCCAGCCAGCAGAGCCATCCTCTACAACGAGGATACCTACAGGTGCCACTGAATTCATTTATAAAATACCAACTGTTACTCGTCATTTGCTTGAATGCATTCATTGTTCAAGTAATATATCAAACACGAGAGTGTTTCATCACATTTCCAAACACCAAGAAGAGAGATGAAAATACAACATGCAGTGGGGTTTTTTGACGAAATTCAAGTGTTTGGAAATGTGAAGAGAGTCTCTCGTATTTGATTTATTACTTCTCAAATTCATGAATAATTCATCAAGTTAAAACAAGGAAATCATAACCGTGTTGGAGGCTGGATATATTGATCTTAATTAGCATAGATTTACGATTTATTTCTCTGTTTATCCTTAGTTTTGTTTCGATAGAGAAGATATATCAAAAAATGAGAAACAGTGTTTCATCGGCTGTGCCATACACCTCATATTTCACTACGCATCATATTTTCAACCCTCTTCTCGGTGTTTGGATATGCCGATGAAACACTGTCTCTTGTGTTTGATATATTGCATCAAAACACTTGAGACAGTGTTTCATCAGATTTCCAAACACCTCAAATTTTCGTCATAAATACTCTGCTATGTGTTGTATTTTCAACTCTCTTCTGGGTGTTTGGAAAATTGGATGAAACACTATCTCTTGTGTTTGATATATTACCTTTAAGTTACTTATCCTTTTATGACATTTCTCTGCAGCAAGCGCAAAATAAATGACTTTCTTACACTCTTGGAGGGTTTAAATAAAGCAACAGAGATTGTAACCATGTTCAAAGACCATGTCGGCTCTTTCAGGTAAATTATTTAACTTGTACCTATAATTAAATAAAAAGATCTGTAAATGAAAAATATTTATGGAACCCCATCAATTCTATTGAAAATACCACCTTTCAAAATGATTGTTGTAGAATATTGATTTCTTCTTTCAACTAAAACCCAAAATCTTTGGCGCTAAAAAAATATACATTTTTTATAAACCTGATTATTTTCTGCGTTACCTGGCTGAAAATCTCTCATTTTATATTCTGTTTTGTTTTGTAGGTCCAAACTTCTCTCTCAGGTCGTCACAGAACAGGGCAATGATGGTTGGTATACTTGTTACCTCTCCTGTCCACCCAATCTAACATTTCTATTCTTATAATCTCATGTATTTTTTTCATTTTTAATTAGCAAGTGAGTTACACCAAAAATTTCCAAACAGTAGTAAGCCCTCATATCAGTTTATAGGTGTTCTTGTGGTAGACACGGTGGCCTAATGGTTAGCGCGTTTGACTCTGGATTGAGCGGTCCGGGTTCAAGCACTGTCCGGGATCACTGTGTTGTGTTCTTGGGCAAGAGACTTCACTCTCGCAGTGCCTCTCTCCTGCCAGGAGTACAAATGGGTACCGGCGAACTGTTATGGAAACCTGACAAAGTGCATTGGACTAGCACTACTCCTAGCTGCTTCATGCTACAGAAACCATAGCCTATGAATAGGCTCCGCGGTGGGGATGGGGTAAAAAGAAAATGGCGTGCGAGCCGGGAAAATCCTGGGAGAGAGGGAGGGACGCCGCCCCTTCGCTCGCAGTTTTCTTTTTACCCATCCCCACCGCCGGAGCCTATTCATCGGCTACAGAAACCACAGTTAAGCACTGGGCTTGTTGAGTCACTAGTCTCTGAAAAGACTTTTTGTTTAATAAATTGAACCACTAAGTCTTTTAACTTGTGTTATTGTTTTATTGTTCTTTGTAGCTGGACAGTCAAAGACCTCAGGACAGTTTCCCCAAGCTACATGATCTCTTAACCGGCTACAAGGTAGTCTAGATAAAATAATTACTTCTTACTACTCACTGTTTGTTTGCTTCTATTGGATGTTTCTTTTGTGAATTTATCTTTTGTTGTTACATGTTCAGGGCTGCAAATAATTTTTTTTTCTTGAAAGGGACATGTGTCCGACTAAGAAAAATTTTGGTCGGAAAAAACAAAATGAGGTCGGACATCATATTACAGTATTGTTGATAAGCGAACCTGCTAATTTAACGCATGTCATTGCCAGAGTAAACTACATGTAGTTTGCATTTAGAATAAACTCGTTGGCGTTTACGTTGGAAGGCAAAAAAAAATTGTCCGGACATTATGTCAACCACAGTTTGGATTCATCGGACATAAGCAAATTTTGGTGGTTCATTGTCCGATGACCGACTGTTATTTGCAGCCCTGCATGTTAGCCATTTGATTGTTTTGTTTAAAAAGTTTTGCTATAAAAGGGATGGCACCTCCTACATTTCACACCTTTTTCACAGAATTTTACATTGCACATTGTGGAGTCAAGCGTCCTGTAACTAAACATGCTTCAAAAATCTCATGAAACCAATTATAAGCTGTTTTACGATTTGGCGGTTTAACTGACAACTTGGTGAAAGAATGGCCAGGCCAGGCCAGACCCTTTGTTCTACCAGAACTTCTTCTAGACACAAATCCTTCTTTAAGTACATGTAAGTCAAGATTTTTCCTCAAGGTTACAGTTTTCTTGTTTTGTTTTCCTCAGTATGCATTTGATCACAACAAGGCCAGAAATGAAGGGTGTCATATTGCCTAAACCAGGTGCAGTAATAAAATTATATTGAACTTTGTCACAATTTCTCAATCATCAGGACACGTCCTTCCAAACTTTTATTTTACTCTATGCTCAGACGTATTACAAAAGTGATCGGACATTACAGTCATCTTCAGTTATTTTTAATGCAGATCAGTGGATGGACTTTGTGTCCAATCAGATCACACTTCAAATTTAAATATTGGTCACAGACAATGACATTGTCAATTATAAACAACCGGTTGTTATATCTATTTTGATAATTACTTATCCTTTCAAAACATGCGAAACTATGCTCAATCAACGGTTCGATGCTGTCAATCATCTTTATAGTGGGCATTTCAGGAAACAGAAGTTTACTTCATCCCCAGGACCTCATCGGATTCAAAAGGTCATGTCCATGGGTTGTGATTGGTAGATTTCGATCCATTTTGTTTGTTTCTTTTTTTGTCCAGGATCCGTTGGTTGTCATCATAATATTATGATTGATGGCAGCATTAAAGCGCAATCATTGGGTTTTGAACTACAGAGTTCACGTGCTATTAAAAGGCGCAGTATTATTAATAATTTTTATGACAATTTTAATCTCAGGGGTTGATCCAGACTATGATCGAGCCCTGGCAGATATTCAGGCAACACGCATCTGGTTTTATAAATATATGAAGAAAACAGAGTGCCTGTGCTGGGATGTAGGGTGAGTCACAAATGATAGCTGCCCCCCCCCCCCCCCCCCAGTCCCAAGCTTGGAACATGAATCCTCCTCATTTATTGCTTTATATTTTGCATGGTTGCCATCATAGGTCAGGGAAAAAGTCTGAGAATTTTGTATCTGGTCAGGGAAATTCTAAGTTTCTTGTCAAAGTGTCAAATTGTACATACAGTAACAATAAATATTGTTTTTCTTTTTATTCAGGTGTCGTATTGGGGTACAGGTAAGGCAATAAATCAAATGTATTGGCGTGCAGGAAATTTGAAAGAAAAGAAAAAGAAAAATAATTTACAATGCTTTAAGCTTATTATTACTGTAGTGTTAAACCCAGGCAAATTGAGAATGAGAGTTAAAGGGACACTGTCCCGGCGTATTTGCTCAAAACTGTTATAAATGCATGAAATGGTCCCTAAATCTATGAAATAAGAACTTAATAAACTCTAAAACTAAATGATAAAAAGCAATTTCTTCAAGAAATTCCATACTGCAACAAAACTTTTGCAAATTTCAAAGATTTCCGAGCCAAATTTGAAACTTTGAAAAACTGACATCCTGACGTTTTTTCAAAAATCCATATTGCAATCCATTTCCATCCTCGCTGTCGTTCGTCATCCTCACTTCCTAATGGGTTCCTGTCATTTGTCGAGTGTTATTCTACAGAATCAAACCATTACTGATCACCTTCCTATGATCTAGATTATGTTTCTGAGCTTCCCAAAATCATGCTAAAATCAGGACAGTGTCCCTTTAACGTGAGTTTTGTTCAACTCTCATTACCTATCATCAAGCGTGGGCCAAACGAGAAAAAATTTTGATGATAAAATTTGATGAGAGCGCACGAGAGTCGCCGAGAGCTAGTGAGATTTTCAGGCCAAAAAGAGGGCGCGAATTTGCAGTCTTGTCATCGCTCGTTCTCATTTGGGCTTTACATATAACATATATTTTGAGAAATGAGTGACTGTCACTTGTTTCTTTTTCTGGAAAGAAGAGCAATGTTTGCAAGGCCACCCAAGCAAAATATACCAAATAGAAAATGTTTTCCGTGTTTCCATAGAGTTATGACAGTTATGGGAACACCAGTGAAGTTTGGGAGAACGAGAAATGCTGTGGAAACACACAGCAAAGTCGAGTTCTCTCCCAAACTTTCACGAGTGTTATCATAACACTATTGAAAACACAGGGAAAACGTTTTCTGTTGTTTTTATGAAATAAAAGCACGAAGCAAGAGTTATGGTAAATGGTTTTGAGCCGATCAGAGCGTGCGTAGTATCTTGTTTATTTCAGTCATAAAAACATATAGAAGACATGACATGACAAAACAATACAATCAAATGCTGTTTCGCTTTGTTTTGCTCCATTTCAGCTAAGAATCGTTACCAACTGGAAATTCCTGATTCAGTGCGCAATATACCAGATGAGTACACCCTGCAGTCGCAGAAAAAAGGATTTAAACGTTACTGGACTTCAGACATTCAAGAGAAACTTGCAGAGATTGTGGATGCAGAGGAGAGAAGAGAAGAGGCCTTGAAAGACACCATGAGATATGTGTTTCACAAGTTTGATCAAGAGTGAGTGAAGATGTAGTTTAAGAATTTAATATTCTTTGGTGTAGTGGTTGGTGCAATAAATCAAGAAGCAACAGGCATATTACCAGTGGAATGCTCGGGAAAACAGGAAAAGAGCGGGAAAACAAGTAACTAATGAAAAGTGTCGGAAAACATGTGACCGATGAAAAGCGCGGGAAAACATGTAGCCAGTGAAAAGTGCGGAAAAACATGTAACTGGTGGAAAGGGCGGGAAAACAGCAAACCGATGGAAAGGGCGGGAAAACGCGTAAACCGCCGTGAAAAGCACGGGAAAACAGGTAACCAGTGAAAAGAGCGGGAAATAACAGCCGTGAAAAGGTGGGAAAACAAGTAACCAATTAAAAGTCTGGGAAAACATTAACGGATAGAAAGCGCGGGGAACATGTACCCTTGAAAGCGCTGGAAAGCAGGTTTCCGGTGAAAAGTGCGGGAAAACATGTAACCGGTGGAAAAGCGCGGAAAACATGTTACCAGTGAAAAGAGCGGGGAAAACGTATGAACTTGACAAGGGCGGAAAACATCTAAACCGGTAGAAAGCGCGGGAAAAGTTGCATAACCACGATTGGCTGAGAGCATTGACCAATTTGTTTTAGAGCTCAACAACGTGATTACTTTCAAAAGTGCTCTAAATTTTCCATGTTTTACTAAACAGCAACTTTTCTTCTTAGGTACAAAACATGGGACAAAAACAGTTCAATGCCTGGCTGTGTTGGATTCACTGATCAGTCTCGCGTCCTACAGGTAAATAATTGTGTTCATTGTATAAATCTCTGTTCCATAACCTTGCATTGCTACCAAGAAGAAATATTAACGATATTGTTTTTACTTTAGCTCTCAGGGTGATGGTCCAATGTGTAGACCTGAGATTGTTCTTCCAGATAAGACTTCAGACGGTGACTTTCAGGTATGGTCTCGGTGACTTTCAGGCAGGGTATGGTCTCGATAAAGGTCCTCTGTGTTGCTCAGAGGACCTCAGAGCAATTTTTCTGGAAAGTTCATTACCAGGCTCGTAAATTTTACGCATATAAACCGTTTTGTTCGAATCACATAGCTTTGAGAAAAACTGTATTTTATTTTTTTATATATAGTAATCCTATTTTCTTGGAATGCGCGCTTGAAAGCCATTTCATGTTGTTTGTTTTCTTCATTCAATAGCCTTTCTTGGAGATTAGAGATGGACGTCACCCATGTATCTCTCGCACTTTCAGTGGCGGTGATTTCATTCCAAATGACACAGTGGTTGGGATGCGAGATGTAAGTAGTTCAATGTTACGTTCCTGGTTTTTGATTGACAGTCAGGTGCGTTTGCTTGGGCTTTGCGTTGACTGCTGAGCTGTGAAACTGGTTGAAAATACTGGTACAACCTGTATAACCGGTAAGAAAAAAACATGCTGGGGGGTTTTCAGCCAATCAGGTGCTTTTCTCCAATTGTGACGTACGCGTGTTTTCCCG